GTCTTGGTACAAACAGAAGGATTGTTGCCATAAATTCTGAATTTGAAAAAGGGCTAATTTGAAGTTTGGCACTGAAATTTATAAATACTTTGGTAGTAAATTAATAACACTCTAACAACACTCTAAAAGAAATGTTCCAACTACTGACCAAGAACACTAATAATAAAAGCTTTGTTAGCACTTTCAAAATTTATGTAATTAGGGCTAATAAGATAAAATTAATTAGAAATAATCATTTCAAGTATTCTTATTTATTTATTTAAATGGACACAATAAAAGATCTGACTCCAACCTCCTGGACCAGACCAGAAGGACAGGGATCCCAAGCCTTACATAAAGAGTCATAAATGACTCACTATTCTCTTATTTATGACCACTAATTTTACTATATTTACTTATCATTGACCTCAACCTTGTTTTAGCAGCAAAGTTTTATTTTCAAATAGTTACCAATGAATCACTGATACTGATACCTGAACAACAAATATGTCCACTAACTATTAAATTGTTAATTTGGTGCAGTTGGAAGCAACAAAATGACATGGTAAAATATACTGTAATTCAAATATTCATTCATTTTAATTATTGCCTATCCTTTTGTTAATATCAGTCTAAGGACAAAATAACTTAGTTAGCCAGCTTTAATTTTAAAAGTTAATAATCAAAAAAACCTTTCTTTCATTTGTAATATTTTGACCTAGAAGAAAACCATGGCTCCCAAATTTTGAAATACTATCTGTGTTTACTAAGGTCGTCCACGTTTTCCTTCAAATTCAATCCATATTTGCAGTGAAGAGGATCCAATTCAGAAAGAAGAGTGGGATTTCAGTCAGAGCAGAAGAAAACACCTGCCATTAATCCCAAGAGCACAAGTGGGGTCTGGAGTGTCCGAAGCAGCCGCCACAGCTGTGAATGGAGGTTGACCTCTGCTTCGGTTCTGTCTTGAGCTGGCAGGTGCCAGGACGCCATTCTGTCTGCTCAGAAACATCCCCTTTTGAAGCAGCAGTATTTTATTGCTCAATTGTGAATGCAAATTTTTATGTGTTCATGAATTAAGGATCCTTGCTTATGGCAAGCTGTCTAAAGAGGTCTAGTTTTCATATGTGGCTTTGGCATTAGTCGTTGGACTTTGAGGAAAAAAGTCATCTCTGCTCCCCACTGTAAAATTGTTTTAGAAAAGCTTTGACCTCAAACATGCCATATAACCTAATAAAGTGCCTTTAGAGGACTGGTTCAATGAGAGGCTTGGCCTCTGAAATCTCACGAGCAAAAGCAAACTACACTTCAAAGAGAAGAAGCTTTTGGGGGGAAAGGAGTGGGAGCAGGGGAGGGGTTCCATAGTAACTATAAGTAACTTTATAGTAGCTGGATTTTCTAGGGGAGTTTTTCTTAATGCTGGTATCGGGAAGTGTTTAACTGTGGCACCAGACTATTAAGCTTTTCCGAAACACACCATTCAGGTTTTCTAAATCAGCTTCCCCCACCATATCTTCCATCAGTGCCTAGAACATTGCCAAACTCTTTATAGGCATTTGTATATAAATGTATATAAAAATCAAAATAGATTTAACATCCTATTTCAATCAAGACTAGAATCTCCACTGTAGTTCTTAGACTGGATGGTAGGTATCCTCTCACTCTTTTTTGGGGTTTCCTTTGCCCCACCAAAAATAAAACCCTACTTGTAGAGCATTAGAGAACATTTCGTATGTGTTAAAAATAACCAAATAAATTCTTTAAACTTCATTTTACAGAGGTAGACACACAGTCTATACCCATTACTCACTACTGATTCACTGAAAACATTAATAAAACATTAAAATTTTACTGAAAACAAAGAAAAATATTTTCCTTGGTTTCTCTTTTTTAATGGCAAAATTATTTTTGGAACAAGAGAAACAAGGGTTTGTTTACTTGATTCCCTAATCTTAGCTCTCTCTCTCTCTCTCTCTCTCTCTCTCGCTGACCCTCCACAATTACTCTTTTTCTCATCTTGAACTTGAGATCTTGGGGTCACTCCCCAGGATACTGGGAAATGTAATTGGCAGCATTTCAGAAGTCATCTGTTGAAGGCAGGCACATAGTCATCATTCTCTATGAGAATCTAGTTCTAGAGCTGTGTCCCAACACTTATCATCCTAACCTAGTCACACGGACTAGGTTAAAGTCCTGGCTAACTCACTTGCAAGAGACCTAACCTTGATAATCTTTGAGTTTCATTTTTGGCATCTTTAAAAGTAATATCATAATACCCTCTTCATTGGATTGGGACCAGATGAAAGTTCTTTGTTGATGGTAAAATATATAAACTACAAGACATGATATTATTGTTATTATTAAGTTCATGATAACCTCACAGCTGTTATCAGAGGTGTCACAACTGAGAGTAGGAATTTAGTACAGTTCCTCTGCAGCAGATACTTAGCAGGAGATATTTTAGTAGACAGAGTATTCCCACATTTCCACCTAAAGTGACATTGCAAGGACTTAGGAAGGAGTACTTTGCTAGAACCTTGGCTGTGCTTCTAGTCTAGACTTACACTTGTCTCCCAGCCCTGCCAAAGGTGAAAGTGAGAGATTGAAGGTAACTCTGAAATGCTCCAATTCCTCAAGTAGGCTGAGCCCTGGAACATGATTTCATCTTTAAGAGCTAGGGGAAAAAAGTATTGATGTCTCTAGAATTAGTATGTCCTGCTGGCATTTTTGTTCAAAGATAAAGAAAATCTCAATGTGGCTTAAGAACAGACAGCTGCCCAACAAAGTAGAAAATCCTAAAAAGAGCCACATCTATATGGTTATCTGATTTATGACAAAGATAACACTGTACTACAATGAGGAAAAGATTCATTTTCAATAAATGGTGTTGGGTTAATTTAATGTTCACATAGGAGAAAAAGAGCATCTTGACTTTGACCTCACATCATGTACAAAATCAGTTCCCCATGAATTTAGACCTGAGTATGAAAATAAAGAAATAAAGCCTCTATTTTTTTATTTTATTTTTTTTGTTGTTGTTTTCTTCTTTCAGTTTGGGCACCATGCCATCCCAAACAGTATAAGTTTAACATACAGTGTTATATTTATTTTAGGTGTACAATATAGTGAGTCAACAATTCAATACATTACTCAGTATTCATCATGATAAATGTACTCTTAATCCCCTTCATCTATTTCACCCATCTCCTCACCAACCTCCCTTCTGGCAACCACCAGTTTGTTCTCTATAGTTAGAAGCCTGCTTTTTTGGTCTCCTTTTTTCTTTGTTTTGTTTCTTAAATATCACATATGAGTGAAATCATATGGTATTTGTCTTTCTCTGTCTGACATATTTTACTTAGCATCATACCATCTAGATACATCTGTTATCACAAATGCAAGATTTCATTCTTTTTTATGGCTGAGTGATATTATATCATATATATGTATATATTACATCTCTTTTTTATTTATCTTAATTTTTAAAAAAATTAATTCTAGTATAGTTAACATACAGTGTTATAGTAGTTTCAATAAGGCTTTTAGCTTTTAGAATAAACATAGAAGAACCTCTCTATGACCTTGGAGTAAGCAAAGATTCCTTAAGTGGAATACAAAAAGAGATAAAGAGAAAAAAATGTTAAATGGAGTTTTATTAAAATTAAAAACTTCTGTTCATCGAAACCTAGTTAAGAGAATATAAACACAGTACACAGAGTGGGAGAATATATTTGCAAAAAATAACTGATAGAAAACTCATATTCAGAATAATGTAAAGTACTCTCACACCTCTCTCTCGATATATATAGATATTATAATATGTAAAGAACTCTAGTAAGTCTAAAGGACAACTCAATAGAAAAAGGGCAAGAGACGTGAATAAACACTTTGTGGGTGAAGTTGCGAAATGGACAACACATGCATTAAAAGGAGTTAAGCTAATTAATCACTGGAAAAATACAAATTAAAACAGTGTGAAACTACTACACCTCCCACCAGAATGTCTAAGACAAAAAAAGATGGAAAATGCTGAGTATTGGTGATGATATAGGGGAAGTGAAATTCTTGTATACTGATGATGGGAGTGTAAATTGTTAGAACCACACTGAAAACTATTTGTCAGTACCTACTAAAATTGAACATATTAGGTATTTTCTATAACCCAATAATTCCACTCCTAGATTTATACCCAACAGAAATGCATACAGTTTTTAATCAAAAGACATAAAGTTAGGATATTTGTAGTAGCACTATTTTCAGTAGTCAAGACATAGAAACGCCTGGAAACAAAGGGCCATCAACCAAGTAGGATAAACAAATTATGGTTTATTCACATGGTGGAATATTATAAAGCAGTAAGAACAAACGATCTACAGCACACAACAAAATTATGAATACATTTTACACATTGAGCAAAGGAGGTCAGACTCATACAGGTATCATTCCATTTCTGTAACTACAAAAACAGACGAACTATTTTGTCAGAGATCAGAAATAGGAGTCACTGTTGGTTGAGAGTAATGACAAGAAAATGTCACCACAGTCCTTCTGGGTTTCCTTAGCTGATTTCTACTTGCATAGGTACATTTAGCTTGTAAAAATTTATCCAGCATATTATATACTTATGACATGTGGACTTTGTGCTCTTTTCTCTGTGTGTGCGTGTGTGTGTGTGTGTGTGTGTGTGTGTAGTATAGCAGTATATATATACTATATACTATGGTATAGTACCATATTTTACTGGTATATGTACCAGTATGGTATAGTACCATGCATACTGGTATACGATATATACCATACTATATATACCATTATACTATATATAATAGTATATGTATTATACCACTTTCACATTCTAACCATCTTACAATTATAATTTAGAACTTAAAATTCCTTGATAAACCTCATTAACAGGTATACCTTTTTGCCCTTTGCATGAATCTTGCAGCTAACTAGCTGATCTATTCAAGCTACAATTTTTTAAATTTATTAAAACATGTCTTTCTTTCTTTTTCTTTTTTTAGGGCCCTCCTGGTCCAAAAGGTGATAAGGTAAGAAAATGTGTAGCAGAAACTAATTAAGTTAGTGGAAATCCATTGGTATGATCTATGCTGTGTTATATTTTGGTCTTTTTAATGATCAACAAATGCAGCCTTTACGCTAAAACTATCTATCATCTCATCTTCCTACTCTACAGGGAGAACAAGGTGATCAGGGACCTCGGGTAAGTTGTATTCTTCCAATCCTGGGCAAAAAATTGGTTTTCAGCTCCAAACTTATTGAATTAAAGTAGCCCTGGCTTTATAACATGCCTTTGTGTCATGGTTTAGTAATAGCTGGCAAAAAATACCGTACCACTTGTAAGTAAAATAGCCTTAATAATAATTAATGGGTATATCCTGTAGCATTGCTTTAAGTTGATACCTATAAATAGGACACTGTACAATAATTAGCCCTACTGATGAAGGGCCAGATCACTACTAAAAAGTCAATAACAACCACCATTCCGATGGCTATTGGGTCCTTCAGATTTGCATGCATTGTTTTGCATGCATTGTTTTGGATTCCTGTTGAATTTGGCCTTTTTCTGCAGTTAAACTTTATGTGCTATTGCATCAATATGTTATATTATAGATGAAAATATTAATGCATTTTATATTTGTATTCTTCATCATAAATTTGAATAACACTTATTTGAATTTCTTATTTTTTATAGATTTTTAAGCAGATAAAAGGTGTAATATAACAGCGTTCCAAGGAGGAGGGGCATTCTTTTACTCTTCTCAAATGTGGCTCTTTTAACCTTTATAACACAATGGTGAATGCTTTGTTGTTACCTTGGTAGTGCCAAGTCCTCTGCTTAACATCTGTGCCTTATTACCCAAATGTTCAGACATACTGTTCCAATGATGTAGTGGCTCCGTTCAGACATACCTCTCAATTTTCTCATGTCACTATGCACAAAAGCGAGTATTTGGTTGAGGAGTCATTTTTTACAGTGGAAAAGCACGTTTAAAACTTTCAGGTTGAAAACAGAAACTGTAGGGTTTTTGTAAAACGTGCTGTGTGTAGTTAATTATTGAATTCATTTATACTGCAGTAGAGGTTTTATTGCAAAAGATGTAGTGGTGCAAACCTGAAAAATTTGTAGTCTTATCTCTTCATGTTTATTAAACTAGATAGAAGGTAGGCTATGATTTGTTTTCCTTTCCATTCTTCAGCCATTTCTTTATATAAAAATAATGACCATGCCTCAGAGCATTTTGTTTCTCATGGCAATTATTCTAGCCGATGACTAGCTTCAAGCTAAAAGCTCATGTTAATGGTCAAGGAGATTAAACATCATGATATCTGTCATGGATGTGAATGGAATAAAATTCTCATAACCTTAAATGATTAGAGTATTGCCACTTGCTCTGTATGTGATGATTATTCACGTGGCATGTCTCGTATCGAGTATCATTTATTTCTACACGACATATCAAAATCACTCAACTTGCCCTTTCCAGGTAAGGGGGAAACTGTTTCCATTCTGAGAAATCTTCTTTTGGCAAAGGAAGTGAAGGGGTGGTTCGCAGCTCAGCTGTCATCAGTATGCACACAGTCCTCATTTTCAAAAAGGTGTGTTGGCTTTCATCGTTCCCAAAAGTGATGATTGATTACAAAGCCAGGCCAAATTTTCAGGATGAAACCTGAAACCATGTGAAATTCACCTGGTTTCATGTTGCATTACAAACTAAGACTTGGACCAGGTTCCTTGTGAGTTTGGCCAAAGTTCATGAACTACTTTGACGAACGCAGACTGCCTTTCATACAGATTTCAGCCAGTTTTCACACTGACTGAGGCCAGGTTTCACACGATTCAGGGCCCATTTAGCATTTCAGGTGGAAAGTGGCAAAAATTGATCCCATTTTCCCCAGGATTTTGTTTTTTGTTGAAGGAATTTGGATTGATTTTATCATGCAGGGTGAATCTTCATGGGTGAAAAACTAACATGTCCTGGAAAGTATATGTGAAAAAGAATGAGAACCTACCAAATTGCCTGTCTTTTCTCAGATTCCTAATTTAGAAACAAGGCAGGTTACATGTAGCGCTCTCCGAAAAATAAACCTTACTTTCTGGTAAGAAAGTATTAGCTACTTATTAGGAAATTTATCATATCAAGACAGTAAAATGAAGGGTTTATATTTCCAGAGAAATCAAAGTTAGAACTGGAAAAGTCTTCAATTTTAATGAGAATTCACTTTACTCACATGCTCTGTAGGCACACTTTTCTAGTTAATGCTCATGGAGAAAAGATCTCTTTTCTAAAATGTAAATCTTTGTATTTGAATACCCTGCCCATTTTTATCCTATCATAGTTTTTGAATTCAACTTTTTACCATTTGTTTCAAGTAACTTATTTCTTTCCATAATTAACAATATGACCCTCCATCATTTCAGTTCTTTGTTAGCTTACCTACTGTTACAAGATTTCTACTGTTTCCTTAAATACGGGCTCCCCCCAACTCTTTTTTCTTTTTGGCTTCCCAAGTGTCAAACAGGAATATATTAAGCCATATTATGTGATTCAAGGCAAGAAAGTGTTGAAGATAATATACACATTAAGAAGGTGAAACTATTTTGAAACACATACATATATTTAGCAATATACATTGAACTTCTGTTACTTTCAAGATACCATGCTTAATACTATAGGAACTATAAATGGATCCACTTTCTCTCTCTTTTACTACCACCAAATTCAACCTACTATCATCTCATCTTCTGGACTACTGTGGCAGTCTTCCAAGTAATCTTGCTTCTACTCTTGACCCTGTATAATCCATTTTTTACACAGCAGCCAAAGAGATCATTTTATGTTGTAAATTAGATCATGTTGTTCCCTGTTTTAATCTTTAAGATGAAATCCAAACCACTTTTCTTGACCTTCATGAATCTTCAAGATCTGACCCTTGCCTAACCCTCTAACCTCATCTCACACCACTCTTCTCTTCCTGCCACCATGCTCCAGCCACATAGTCCTCTATGTGTACTTCAAACACATCGCACTGGAATGATTTTCTATTTGCTGTGTTCTGGTCTTCTGGTGATTGGGTTCCTCTTATGACTGAGATTTCATCTCAAATACCTCCTTGGGGAGAACTTCCCTGACTACCCAATCTAAATCTGAGATTATCCTATTTTGTGTATTTATTTACTTGCTTGTTATCTGTAAAACATGCCCCACCATTTACATAAACTCTATGAGAGCAAGGGCTTGGTCTACCTTGTTCATACCACCATCAGCTAGAACAATAAAGACTCAATAAATATTTGTTGAATGTTAAAATAAAATATTATTACATCATTACTGTCCTCAAATTGCTGATAATCTCATGGGTGCCTGAATAAGAAAACTATGTCTTTGTGTTATATGCCTTAAATAACAATACCAAGAAATGCTAGACAAGTGAACATTCTTCCATTTTAAATAATCATTGGACACTGTGGAAGTGGTGACACTTGAGCTAGGATTTGATAAATGGAGAATCTTTAGAAGAGAAGAGGAAGAGGAAGACATTACACATTCCAGAAAGAAGAAAGTACAAACAGTATTACACAAGTAGGAAATGACAGGATTCATTTAAGGACAAAAATATTTTTAATTGCCAAGGATATAAGTTAAATACAGAAAAATTATATTATATAGGTTGAATTTTTTTTAAAAGATTTTTTATTTATTTGAGAGAGAGACAGAGATTGAGAGAGAGAGAACACAAGTGGGGTGAGGGGCAGAGGGAGAAGCAGACTCCCCACTGTGCAGGGAGTAAGTGGGTTCCTTTCATTTAGGGTTAGGATGAATATTCAGAAAGGAGAGATTTGCCATTGCATTTAAAGGCGGGCATAATGTTGCACAGGCGTACTGAGAAAACATGCCTATACATGCATTGTACATTATGTTAAGCTTGTGCTCCTCCTTGAGCAGAGACTTTAACCTTATACTGAGGCAGAGGTAACTATTGGACAAGTGGAAGGGGCTATGGGAATCCGCTAAGAGCTAGTATAATTGGATGGGACCTTGGGCTCATTATCTCTCCTAGGCCTTGCTTGACTGAAGGGCCTTGCCTGTTCATATGCTGGAACCATATCAGTTGACCTTGAGTCCAGCCTTCTGTAGAGACTATTAGTGGATTTGTTAGTGGGGTCTGAAAAGACACAATAGCTGATTAGGGTGAAATGGTTCTCTGAAAAACAAGCTTTAAACTTTCTGCTAGTTTCAACTTCATTAACCCTATGGGGCACAGTTTCAATCTCATCAATAGGATTTGCCACAAGTGCCAAGCAAAAACTCAGACAAAGAGGGAAAACCAGGGATGACACTAGTAGAGGAGAAATTAATAAGAAAGAGTCTTTTTTTTTTTTTTAAAGATTCCGTTTATTTATTTGACAAAGAGAGAGACAGTGAGAGAGGGAAAAAAAGCAGGGGGGAGTGGGAGAGGGAGAAGCAGGCTTCCTGCTGAGCAGGGAGCCAGATGCAGGGCTCCATCCAAGGACCCTGGGATCATGACCTGAGCCGAAGGCAGACGCTTAATCATCTGAGCCACCCAGGTGCCCAAGGAGGAACTACTTAAAAAAAAAAAAAAAAAAAAAAAAAAAGGTAGCCAATGAAATGCTCTTAGGAAAAGGAAAGCCACAGGGATGAGGGTCTATAAAAAGCTTATGGTTTTGATGTCCTGGAGTCATGAGATATTAAGGGAGTACATTTTGTTAAACAATGGAAGTCAGATTGCAAGAAGTGAAAAGGTAAATTGGAGGAAAGTTGACTATCTTTGAATACTGTTGATGGCATGATTTAATGCAGAAGAAAGTGGGCTAACTTTTTTGGCATGTGCTTTCTGTCAGTGTACATTGAACCAATTTTGAGCTTACAATTTTAGGTATAATATAACAACCATAGATATCACTTGGTTTTATCCTACAAGACACTGAGTGTTAGATTTCCACAGCTGAATGCATCCTGACGTTAGAATTGCACTTTCCTCCTTGTTTCCTGGAGAGATGTCGTTACAGATTTGCCATTAATCTTCAGTGCATTTGTGCAAATGTCCATACTTCAGCAGTTAGGCCTTTGGGCTGTATGGTGGGGATGGGGCTTTTTCTGTGATGTCAGCCACCAAGCCTGTGCTCCGTTTCATCCTCATAAGTTTGTGGTACAGAGTTCTGAGGCTATGACTGTAGTC